ACCCATCAGGGTATAGAACGCACCCATCAGGGTATAGAATGCACCCATCAGGGTATAGAACGCACCCATCAGGGTATAGAACGCACACAAGTTATAGAACCCATTGATCAGAGGATAGAATCCACCCATCAGGGTTCAGAACCCATCTATCAGGACACCATACCAAAGTTGGTATAATTTGTGGTAATTTTAAACAAACAATTACAATTTTTGATATCCATTTGTTGTCATATTGTATCCTTCCCACTATTGTACACTAGACATTTATCAGTGTCTTTATCTGACCAGAGTACAGTTTTTAATGCTTGATTAGACATCATGAATGACCTCTGTACAACAAAATAACACAAGGGTTGAAACGCTTGCAGACTATACTACCAAACCATATCACCAAATGAATGATTGTGTGGCCTTTACTAAGAGATGAAAGTCTGTTCAAGCATAGCCTAGCCTATTAAAGTTGGCCTGAATACCGCCCTAACGAAGTGAAAGTATACTTGCATATTTGTGAAATGAACAAATTTCCTGTGAGTCAATTCTGTATTGGAAGGTAAAGGTTGAACTTAGCTCTCTGCATATTTTCTCCCCCTCCTCTTTTATGAACTCAAACACTGTGAAACACAGTGAAACACAGTGGCTGGTCACAGTATCAGTTTCTTGATTCAAGAAAGCTTGTTTTAGTACTTTATTATATTTTTTCATGTCAAAAAATTCAGTGTTTGCTGCAAGCAAAACATTTTTTTAGCTTAATATTTGTAATGTAATTTTAGTAACATGGAAATATGAGGCAATAGGACAGGTCAAATACGAGTATGATTTGAACCTGGATGGGAGATGACCAGAGAAAAAGGACATTTTTGGGTAATTATACATATACCGTACTTGGCAAGCGCCCCCCCCCCCCCACTTTTGCACAATTTTTATATTTGGGGTCACATTCGGCAAAGCGCCCACCCCTTCAAAATGCAACTAATTAAAACTTGGTCTTGCGTAATGAATCTTGGTAATCGTTTTTATATGATACAGTGTGGATATTGATCGCTGTGAACATGTTGTGAATGCGTAGAACACGGTAACCCTGCGTAAACTACGCTTCGACAATGACCTGTTAATACAAGTAAAATGTGATAAATATTTCATGCCATATTCAGTTTACCTCTCAAAAATGGGTAGTTACTAGTTTTTTTTGAAAAACCATGTCGTTTATTCACTGAAATCAATTCCAACAGATTGTACTTCGACATCGATTATTCACTTCCGCATTGCGTTATCGGAAAATCTTCGGGAATTTCCGAAGAATTGCGTCAGTACAACACAGCATTCAGATTAGTTACTAACCAACTTGACCCATTAGGTCAAAGGACGCTGCTGTAGGTCAAATCTGCAATTGCATCATGGCGGAAAGTGATTTTCAACGAGAGTTTGCGTACGATCCAACAACTTTGTCAGTGGAAATAATATGACAATTTTGACTTCGACTGTGTTCCAACAGACTCAAATGTTTTTAATTCCGTAAATTATGGTGGTACGTAATTAATATTGTAATAAAATGTGCGTATTTTTTGTGATCATTTCTGTTTCTTCATTGTGAAAATCAATGACGACTCAACTAATTTAGTAATTTGATTTTCCCTCAAAGACGTAATCTGTCACTTGATGAATAAAAATTTTCATTTGCACTCTTTTTCGAGGGGGGTGCTCGGGTAAACGCCCACCCCTACAAAATCATGATTTTCTGAGTTGAGGCCCCTGAGCGCTAACGCGGCCGAGTACGGTAATGATTTGTTTTTTTTTTACTTTATATACTTTTGTTAACAATGAATCTAACCCTGTATAATACAATTCTTAATTTACCTTTCCCAGAATATAATTAGAGTATGGTTTCCAATGACATTCTGTTAATCTCTGCATATCATCAAGTGTTGGACAGCTTTCAAGGCGACCTATGAACATGGTCTCCCTGGGATTCAACCAGTGTATCATTTTGTTAGTTACAGAGGTCATGTAATCAAAGAATAAGATCAAAGTCAGAGTCGGAATCTGAGATGATAAACACTGTGATTGGGGTCAAGCTTATAACAGTGGAAGAGTAGTGCTGCTCATGTTAGAAATCTCGCCACGTTCCAAGGCTCAGGGCTGTGCCGAAAAAACTCGATCTTGGTCCCGTTGCATGAACACTTGACACAAACTGAAATCACGCCCTCGGTGGTAAATTTAGGAGAACATATACAGATTCATACTAGTATGATATGACAATGGAAGGAAGTGCAGCTAGATATGGTCGGATGTTGTAGTAATGAATGAAATGAATGCACACTGTCATCAGCGACGCATATTTATGTGCTGCTGCAACCAAATAGAAACAGCAAAAAGATATAATTTCAATATGTCAATTATTATTATCATCACATGCGTATCGTTTTCCATGTTTGGGACAACTAACAGATTCAAAGAATGAGGGCGTGATTTCAGCACAAGCTGAGTGGGTCCCAACTAACATGAATGCAACTCTGTAATCCCTCTGCAAAGATTGAAAATTCCGGCATGTGTCAAGATCCCATAACTTGAATGTAGCAAGTGACACAAATCCTATACAAAATTAAACTATTGAAAAATTAACACAAGTTATTTCAACTCCTTATGCCCAGAACCATGCACCAATCATGGTATAGACTATCTCTACCCCAAAACATGTCGCTCCCAAAGCACCCAGTAAAGTCTGCTCACATCCCCATATCACCAATATCAGGATTCATCTGTTTATCTCTTGACTCTGTCCATGCTTTGGCTATTGTTCGTTTCATATCATCATCACCCTCTTCATACATATTTTTCATCATATTCATAATTCCCGCTGATGGATCAGCATTATCCATTTTGGGAGGTCTGAAAAATAAAACAATTATCAGAATGTTATTTTTGGATGCTACAAAACTTTTAAAAAAATGAAAAAATGGTCTTACTTATCGCTTTCCTTTATGCAGAAAAGAAATCTAGTCAAATTTTTTTAAAAAAAACTGGGTAAAACAAAAAAAAGGGTAAATGATGTGAAGAAACTTTCATAGAAACAAAACTGTAGTAACTTATGTGAAAAGATGGAAACTCACTTTTTTTCCTTGTTTTTCATATCCCCCTTAGTAACATATGCCCATGTCTGTTTGTCTTTCTTTTTCATAAAAACTACAAGCATGTCTGTCTTGATCTGCAAAAAAACAAAGACCATTGAGTATATTGATAAAGCTTTCATTGAAGTGTATACAAAAGTCATGGTTAGTTTGGTATATAAAATATATCATTTGTATTCAGCTGATCTTATTTTTGTAACAACTTCAAAGAACTTCAAAGAAAACATGTTTAAACATTTTTTTTTAGACAAAAGTGGTAAATAAATAACTATCATATGCAATGATAGGGGTGAGTCAAAGAGTGCCTTCTAGCTTAACTTGAAATGGCTATCATATGCAATGATAGGGTTGAGTCAAAGTGGGCCTTCTAGCTTACTTTAAAATGACTATCAAAAACAAAGAAAGGGTAGAGTCAAAGAGGGCCTTCTAGCTTACCTTGAAATTACTATAATCTGCAAAGAAAGGGTTGTGTTAAAGAGGACTTTCTAGCTTACCTTGAAATGGCTATGAGATGCAATGATAGGGATGAGTCAAAGATGGCCTTCTAGCTTACCTTGAAATGACTATCAGATGCAATGATAGGGGTGAGTCAAATATGGCCTTCTAGCTTACCTTGAAATAGCTATCATATGCAAAGAAAGGGTTGTGTTAAAGAGGACCTTCTAGCTTACCTTGAAATGGCTATCAGATGCAATGATAGGGATGAGTCAAAGATGGCCTTCTAGCTTACCATGAAATGACTATCAGATGCAATGACAGGGTTGAGTCAAAGAGGGCCTTCTAGCTTACTTTAAAATGGCTATCATATGCAATGATAGGGATGAGTCAAAGATGACCTTCTAGCTTACCTTGAAATGGCTATCATATGAAATGATAGGGATGAGTCAAAGATGGCCTTCTAGCTTACCTTGAAATGACTCAGATGCAATGACAGGGTTGAGTCAAAGAAGGCCGTCTAGCTTACCTTGAAATGACTATCAGATGCAATGACAGGGTTGAGTCAAAGAAGGCCGTCTAGCTTACCTTGAAATAGCTATCATATGCAAAGAAAGGGTTGTGTTAAAGAGGACCTTCTAGTTTATCTTGAAATGACTATCAGATGCAATGACAGGGTTGAGTCAAAGAGGGCCTTCTAGCTTACCTTGAAATAGCAATCATATGCAATGATAGGGATGAGTCAAAGATGGCCTTCTAGCTTACCTTGAAATGACTATCAGATGCAATGACAGGGTTGAGTCAAAGGCCGTCTAGCTTACCTTGAAATGACTATCAGATGCAATGATAGGGGTGAGTCAAAGATGGCCTTCTAGCTTACCTTGAAATAGCTATCATATGCAAAGAAAGGGTTGTGTTAAAGAGGACCTTCTAGCTTACCTTGAAATGGCTATGAGATGCAATGATAGGGATGAGTCAAAGATGGCCTTCTAGCTTACCTTGAAATGACTATCAGATGCAATGACAGGGTTGAGTCAAAGAAGGCCGTCTAGCTTACCTTGAAATGACTATCAGATGCAAAGAAAGGGTTGTGTTAAAGAGGACCTTCTAGCTTACCTTGAAATGGCTATCAGATGCAATGATAGGGATGAGTCAAAGATGGCCTTCTAGCTTACCTTGAAATGACTATCAGATGCAATGATAGGGGCGAGTCAAAGATGGCCTTCTAGCTTACCTTGAAATGACTATCAGAGGGTATGATAGGGTTAAGTAAAGTTTTGATAATAAGTTCATGATTCTTCCCATTTAAATTACTAACACATATAGTGACAGACCTGTAAATACAAAAAGAGTCAGTGTATCTTTAACAGAAAATGTTTATTTGTGGTTAGTTTGCTTTTGTTTCTAATTATTTTACAGGGTTCTCCACGGTTTGAAAATTAAACAGGGCGCGCCAATGTGAAGTGGGCAAGGATGTTGAAAAATGGAAACCAAAAAATCTATTAATCTACATATTATTACATATGCATAATATATATTTATTATTACAAAATGAATAGGAATTTTGAAGAGCTATTATTAAGTAAACGTCAGCACGTACAATCAGCTGATTTTAGCTGCACGATTCCTCAAGCGGCGACATCAGTTGTTTACAAGTAATGATCGCGTCGAGAAAAAGACGTAACAAGTTTGTTAATTCATTTTCCCAAATACATACATGCTTTATTTAATTTTTAGCAAAAATTTATATTTATGATTTATATTTATTTGGACGAAGCAAAATAAAATGTATGTCGCACAAACAGCATGAATGGCACCAAAAACCAAGGTGATCAAACGAAATAAAATGTACACAATAGAAGATTTTCGATCTGCAGTTAACAGTTACTATCAAAAATAACAGAATTAGGTATAAAAAAACAAAATACATACTAATAAGAATAATTTTCATTCGAATCGAAAGTTTGTTGATGTCTGCTTCGTTGAAAACAGCTATGACCCGGAAACAGTTCATTTTACTGTGTGCACCCTGATACTATGTAACAATGCTTTTGATTGGCCAAAGCCACGCATTGACGCGAAAAACAACCAATCAGAATATTTGTTCCAAAAGAACACAAGTAAATTTATTTCCTCCACTTATGATGCGAGTTGAAAGCATGGCCGTTTTACCGGGGTTTTTAAATCGTGATTTAAAGAAAATTCAACTTTAAATAGTGACATTTAAATATAAACATTTACATGTTCAAGCAAGCATTCGTGTGGACTTCTTGGTGATCAGCAATGTCTGTGATGGTACATCGGCTGCGCTGGTCGTTTACCGATCATGCAAGTGCATAGCTGCCCGGTTGCTGCCTTTGTTCCACTCGGTGGTGACGATGTTGCCGCTACCTAGTCACAGCGTGAACTTGGTTTTAACCATAGACCTTATGTTTAACGAATGGTTTTAATGATAATGATTTTATATATTTGACGTCACCCTGGCAGTAAAAATATGGGTACGGTAATGTACTTTTCTAGGCCTCATGTTCATTTTTAATCGTGTTGAAAAAACTTGTAACTTTTTGTTTGGTGGTGTTATCACCTCACCGTGACCT